ACACACACACACACACACACACACACACATACATATATATATATATATATACATACATATATATATATTTCAAATGAATACATGCGAATTTTCGCCTGAACTATGATCATGTCTCCGCAGACCTTGCGTAAGAATTGCAACGGGCTCTGCTGATGTCAGTGTTTCTAATCATCAGGTAGCTACTAGAGTAATTTGTGCCAAATAGCTAATAATTATACCAATACAAGTATGCAAATATTATCAATACATAAAACTATCTCTTCTATCTCTTCTGCAGTTCACACAACCTGTTTTGCAATAATCATTAACCTGCGGCATGGCACGGATACTCCGTTTTATGATCATCATCTTTCAGGCAATAGAAGGATATGATATAGTCGTTGAGGCATCGAAAGCTGCTAGCGTAATTCGTTGCAGCGACAATTCGACTGTTTATGTTGTATCTGTGCACACACTTTGGTGAATCTTTGGACTTATGGAATACGATGTGGAGAAGCAGTCTATGAAACTCAAGGCACTGTACTGTCTTAAACCTTTTCAGGGACAAAGCATTCAAGATCCCGAGCGTGTTTCGGTGGATGATTGAGCTGTATCGTACCACTGGAGACGATATTGTTTGCGAGATGGGATATGATGCACACGTTCTCATTCGATCATATGATCTCGCTCTCCAACTTTTCGTGCCAATAATGGTACGTACCTATTTTTAAAATTTTTGTTATGGTTTGGTATATACAGTGCGACACGCTAGCTCCCATCACGTCTCTTTACACCTTTCTGTCGAATTCACTATTCCACATTTCAACCTTGGCAGCTTGTATGTGCTGAATGTACTATATGTGAGTCGAATATTAAATCGTTTGTTGTATCATATACCGACAGATTATGAGCTTGGGCCTACTCCTACCCTTGAATATATTGGGAAGTGAAGGTGGGGAAGACCTCAATGCTTTCCTCGTGACAAATATCAGTGACGGTGATAGGTATGCAAATTACACACGCGTGTAGTATCCATCTTCAACTGTATTGTAATCAGAATTTACGTAAGACCTTGAGCTGTACACTATATGCCATGGCTTACTCAATTTTACATGTCTAGTACACGCCCATTATTTCCAGATTGACGTGTGTCAGTTCTGTGAGCTACAAGACTTTTTCACGATATTTTTGTATCTATTAGGTCCCCATGTGTGCCATTAAATACGAATTTATTTTACGGTCTACTCAAGCTCATTGTCGATATTGAAACAAAATCACAGTGTGCTTTGGGTGTTCTGCATGGCAGCATGGGTGTTCTCCATCTATGCGTACTTGTGCGTCAACACGGCGTACATACAGCTGTCTCGCCTGTACTCCCAACACTTGCTGATGAAATCTGTCAATGCCGAAAAAAACTACGCCGTTATGATGACTATGATTCGGGTGAGAACACGCACGGATGCACACTTTCTTTATATACATTTATATATATATAAAAAAAACACACAAAACGCACACACACACACACACACACACACACACACACACACACACACACACACACACACACACACACACAC